ATCAAATTATGTTGAAAAACACAATAGCTTTAGCACATTCACTAACTTGACTGAAAAATCGATTTTCGTTAATTAAGAAAAAGTCTTCGACTCTTCTTTTATTTAGAAAAATGTGATTTTTTTCAATCACTTTGATTTTATTTTGTTTTTATTTAATTTTTCTTTTAAGTTTTGTTTTCTTATTTTTTTATGACTTTTTAAGCGATTTTCTTTTTTTGCATTTTAAAAATCATGAAAGTTAAAAGAAAATCGAGTTAAAAAAAATAAACAAATACACAGAAATTTCATATACTAAATAAAGTGATGTGAACACACCCAAGCTTATATACATGTAGGTATGTGTGTTTGTGTACAAATACACGTTTTCTAGTCTCTACTATACCATTAAGCCAGTTAACTAAAAATTACTAGAAAAAAAACGTAGAAAGAAAACATTTCCCCTCATTCTTAGTAAATGTTTGTTTCCTGGTGTGACCGCGAAACTACGTGAGCATAAGTGATTAAAGATGCAACAATTTCTTTAAAAATTTTTTTTTTGTTTGTATCTTCTCTTTTTGTTCTTTTAATGAAAGTTGTCTACGCAAAAACCACTTTAGGCAAACTGTAACGGTTTTGTATTTTAGTGTTAAATAGATAATTTTCTAGTTTTGATATATTAATTTAAGTATTTCTTTAAAATCGTTTTGATTTTAAAAATATTAATAAAAAAGATACTATGGAAGAAAACATGTGTCATTAGCTGTCAATGTCAAATTTTCTAAATATGATAATTTGATGACAGTTTATGTCATTTGTCAATAAATGTAAAATTTTTGATGTAAATTGATTTTTAATCATGATGGTTGCCTTTAATTAATCAAATTATCATTGTTATGGAGAAACTTTAAATATAAGACAAAGGAATGCTGCATACAAATATATTTATTAAAAGTCAAAATAATAATATGAAAATAAGGTGCCGCGTCGTGTACCATAAAGAAATTTGTAGATTAAAGTATAAAAGTTTTTTTTCTATGATTTTGAGCATGTTTGTGTAGTATGTGTATAACAGATATATTAAAACAATTAATTTGAAACAGTTGTAAATTTTTACCCGGATACAGGGGATCAACATGGGATAGTTACAATCAAATAACTGTAAAATAATTGTTATTTTGAACTCATAGTTTAATTTTGGTTTTACAAGGTGAAACACGTACGGTTTTTAGGTCTTAAAAATATTATTTTAATTTAAAATTTGACACAATTTTAAAAATGCATTGCATGAAGCCTGATGCGTTTGGTCCTTTGTACATACCTCATTATAAAATTATAAATGCATAAATTTCTACAAAAATATTTAATATAAGTCTACTAATATATTTTCGTAATTAATGGTTGAAAATTTAAGATTGATAATTACATTGTGTTTTTTCTTTTTTCCTCGCATTTTTTCAATAATATTATTTTTATAAAATGCGCTCACAAGTCTCGTTTAGTCTGTCAGTTGAGATTCTATAAAAATTTAAAGTTAGGTAACAGGATATTTTATTTATTCTAAAAAAAATTTACAAAACTATTTATTTGATTCAATCGGTTAACTACTTTTATTTAATTGAAATTATTCATCATAAACAGACTGTAAATTGAGACTACGTAATGGTGACATTAAATTATAAAAAACTAAACTATTTTATTATTTTGTGAACACTGTAATACATTTTTAACTCGAACCATATTGGAATTTTGAAAAATTTTCGAATTAGAAGAAAATTTTGAATATGAGAAACATAATGCAATATTTCAAAACGTTGGCAAGTGTAAAAATATAAAATCGATGTAAGTGAAAATCACTTGAAAATGCAAATTTTAAATAAACACTCCATGTGTATTAACCCATTCTTTCCAAAGCGTACTCGTACAGACCATTAAATAGCATCGAAGAATTGTTTTTTGAATTAGTTTTTTAAGCAATTTTTTGTTTAATTTTATCCGAGTCAACATTGGTACGAGTACACTGAAGAAAAAATAATTCTAACTGGATTTGCGAAACGCAGAGAAAAACAAATTGTGACATTCAAAAAATTTTGGATGCTGTTTACAAAATATTGACAATAAATCCTACATGCTACTTAAGATTTACATTGGCATAACTCTAATTTACCACTTTTTACCTTGAATTTCGGTGTATAAAATTGACAACTGACTGAAAATTTAAAATTCAATGTCAAGAAATCAAAATTGTGTTCGGAAATGGGTAAAAAAAATTATTTTAGTTTAACACTGAATTGTTATTGTATATTTAATTTTGGATTTTATTGCAGTGATTTTATTAAAGGTGATTTCAAAACTCGCTAGTATTGTTAGCTACCATTAGAAAATTTTTCGATTATTTTTAATAAAAAATGTGCTCCTTTAGAAAACATTAACTTTCTTTCAAACTTATTTTTCATACATAAATTAAAATATAATTTTTTTTTTAAAGCATTCTGGTAAAATATTTTTTATATTATGTTGAATTAATTACGAGTCATCAACCTATATATAACAATTTAAGAGCTTGAAATTAAAGAAAAGAAACAAAGTAGAAAAACTGATATGAAAAATAAAATTATAGCATTTATGCTAACTTATTACCTTCTTGGAAAATGTTTTTATACCTATATATGGCTTTGGTGATTACATCTTATATTTTATATATAACATATTTGGCTTGAAAAGAAATCAAAGTGTTGTAGACTTAGAATATTTTATACTTTAACTATAATTCAATATTTGATTTTTTTTTCAAGAATTCCAAATGCATTTTTATCAAAAACTGTATATATAATAAAAGTAAGAAGTTGTAAAGAAATAAATATAAGAAAAATGCTTATATGTAAGATTGTATATAAAATTAGTTATTTTTTTCTTAAGGAAAATTATGACCAATAAGGCTACAATACCACAGTGTAAGAAATATATGAGTTATCGGTTTATGTTGCATGCTGAAAACTTGTTTATTTGCATTCATTGCATTACCGATTCCGACTACTTAGTTGCCTATATGAATATAAGAGCTCTTACTAATAATATAGAATGAAAATATGGATATAAGCATTATAACTTTAACAAGTATATACAGATTTCTTGGTATGCATGAGTTCATTATTATATAAGACTGAAATTGAACTCATTCATGTATGGATATAGAACATTTTTGATTCAATTGGTTGATTATTATTTATGTACATGATGTTGAATTAATTTTCTTTCATTCAACATTTTCTAAATTTCGAATGAATTAAATTATAAAATTACAAAATGAGAAAAATAATAGTTTTTAATCTCAAGTCGAATGAATATTACTATAAAATTTTCTAGTATGAATGCTTTGTATAATATAATGATAACAGTGGCATACAATTATAAAATATAAACAAGAGTTTATGATTAATTCATATTTTAATTGGTTTTCTAAATTATTTTATTTATTTTGTTAATTTTATAATTCAAGAAAATTTTGTTGCCATATTAGATTTTTAATGGATTTTTGAAAATGTTGTGCGGTCAGTTTTAAATATGTAGATATTTGTAATGTTGAATGAAAATCTTCTTAATTAATTATTTTTAGTCGCTCCGAAATGATAGTAATTTTGATTATTTAAAGTGGAAAAGTAGCACTGATACATCTATATAAGTCTAACTATGGATTGTTATATGACACCCCATTTAATTTCACAAATCATCGTTTCGGAAGTAAAATTATATATGTCCGATTTTAAATTTTTGTGCCCTAATACTATGGGATTAAGTTAGGAATATGATTTTATGTTTTAAAATCTATTCCACTTTTCGATTCTATTTTGAGTTAAAATTAAAATTTGTATTAAATTTTAAATTAGGTTAAAGAATTCAAATTAAAAAATTTTATTTAAATATTGAATTCCGTTCAGTTTACAATTTTCCTAATTCAGTTGCAATTTTCCTAAAATGTATGAACGGAATTGAATTTATTACCCACCGAGCTCAGTTATAATGTTTTAATATTTCATATTTATTATGTACAAATTAACATTGAATTTTTCGATGTAAATGAAAAAAAAACCAAATAAAAATAAGAAAAAATATTTCAATTCCGGTTTTTATACCCGATAACATAGTGAAATGAATATTTTAATTTTGGAATTGAGTTTGAAATCATTTAAGGGGAGGCGACAGCAGTATAATATGGTTATTCTTACTCAGTGTAAAAATCTGCATTAATTTAGACATATTCGCCCTTCCAATCGCGCTACAGTTCAAAAACAAGAAAAGCAAAGGTCACCGAACTCTTTGTGACCAAAATTGTTTTTTTTTTACACTATAGCGACCACTATTTTAATTAAAGTAATTCAAGCAACGGGTTCGGGTAGCTGTCGTACAATACAAAATGTTATTCTAAATTCTATTGAAAAAATAGTACTTGTGTGTTTAATATAGCTCAGATATATTGTAATAGTTTCAATGGAATGGTTTGATAAATTCGAGTTGATGCCATATAATACTTTACAACGTAATTCAAAAACTTTAAAAATACTTCACAAATTATTTTTTTTAACCATATTGCGATGGTGCAGGCCTGTAGGGTATACAACTCAATCGGTTAAGACCGACTGAAACGTTTTAACTTGTTTTGGTTTTTTTTGTTTTAATTTGTGTAGTGTTATATTTTTCCTCCAGGTGCAATTATTTTAACCAAACAAAAATTAAAAGAAAATATTGACTTTTTTTATGTAAAAAAAAGATACGAACTGCAAAAATGAATTCACCATAATTTAAAATCATAAATCATTTTTCTTGTTTTTTCTTATTTATTGAATTTTTCTGCTGTTCAATACCAATTGGACAGTGGAGTCCCGTGCATTGATTAATGACACAAATTATATTAAGCGTATTATTATTTTTTTCTTCTTACTCCTATTATACAAGATGCCAAGTGAAGTTTTAAGAAATAGTCATTAAAAAATAATTTCTCCTCATATTTTTCTTTTTCATTACAGATTAATAAAGTAACAAACACACAAGGCAATAACGATTCATCGACTTTTGGAAACCATATTGGATAATCAGAAGTCAAAAATTTAAAAACAGAAAAAACAAGAAGCACAGAGAAGATTAAGATTTTCTTTTCATTTTCAATATAAAGAACACGACATTTGTGGAGCATTCAAATTAATTTCGGAAGGAAAAAAAGAAGAAATATTTCAGTATATACATTTATACATACATACATACATACATGCATACATAAGTATATGTATTGCAAAAAATAATTTTTCAATTTTTTATTAATTAAATTTTCGTTTTTTAAAACAAAAAAAGGAAACCAAATTAAATTTTATATAAATGACGGTTAAAATTACATCCTTTCTACCATCGATACCATCGTATTCAACAAACATGATAACATCACGACGGGATCATCCATTTAATAAATCAACACGTCCATTATTAATGGAAAGAAAACCGCAATTACTATTAAAAAAGAAAATTATTAATTTTAATGATAATAATTCAATTAATAGTAATAATGGTAATACAAAATTGCATCATGGTTTTAATGATTTCGATGATATTATGTCACAACAATTTAATAGAAATATAAATACACATATCGGTTATCCATATGGTAGTCCACCACCATCACCGACAATAACAGGAACAGCAACAACAACAACAGCAATTAATAACTCAAATGGAAATACAATAAATAATTTTCGTTTTTCTGATGATATTACAACAACAACAACAATAACAAATAACGGTATTAATAATTTAGGTATATCATCAATAAATACAATATTCAATAATGATATAAACTATCAAAATCTTAATCATAATCAACAACAACAGCAACAAAATCAATTAGAATCATTACCAAAACCATATCCACCATCAGCATGTGATGAAGATAATTTTTTTCCATCATTAAATAATGATAATCAAACATTACCAATATCAAATAGAATAACAGAACAATATAATAATAATTGGAATATAAATAATAGGAGACAGCATAAACAAAATCAATACCAACAACAAGAACAACATCAATATGAAAATCAATTTTCATCATCAAGAATATTACATCATAATTTTAATAATACAAATAATTTTCAATCAAATTTTCAAAATATTGGTAATAATATTAAAAAATATAATAATGATAATAATGATAATAATACAATAAATGATAATAATTATGATGACATTAATAATTATGAAAATAGTGGACCATTTATATTTGGTGTTCATGATAAAACTAATTTTAATTATAAAAATTCAACAATTACAACAACATCAACTACACCAACAACAACAACAACAAATAATATTAGAAATAATAATACTGTGATAAATTCATCAAATAGAAGAAATTTTTTTAATAAAAACAAAAAAGATAAAACGGTAGCATTTAATCAAGTAAGTAAGAGTAGAAAACATTAAAAAATTTTAATAAAACTTAAATTTTTTCTGAATAATTTTGTAGGTTGTACTTGTATAATGAAAATATTATGATCCTAGGGATAAAATGTCACTTTAACCGGCCATATATAATAATTGAAATATCAAATTCATTTTTTTGTGAATTCGCTTTTCGATAGAGGCTCCTTACATATTCGATCTCTTATATGTATATTTTTTATTTAAAATTTTCTTTTTTAAAAAACTTGTGCACAATACGAGTATTGTTAATTAATAAAATAATATTGTCCTACAACATTGTATGATTATTTGGTTACAAGCAAAACCTATCTAAGTCGAGCTGATAATTATTTATTTTATATAACAGTTTCGGATTTTCTTTACTGTTTTATCTATATTCTATTAAAGTTTTGGGTCAATTTACCTCACTTAGTTTTGAAATTAATGTAAATAAAGTTGGGTCAAACCAATGGTTTGTATTGTAGCACTTTTCCCTTCAGCAAGTGAAAATTCTGCTTTTAAATACAGTCTATGTATAACTATCACACATTCTAAAAATTATTTTCATTCATATACAAAACTCTTTCTAGGATTGCATATATTTAGGATCAACGATTTATGCAGTCTTTGAAATAAAGCAAAAATTAATATAAAGTGGGGTTAACATAATGCACGATTTTAAGGTTTAATTATGTGAGTTAAGAAAAATAATTATATTTTTTAATGTCACGGAATTTACCGCTAGCTTTTTGTGTTTATAGAAATTTGAAAAAGCTTGCGGTTTCGGAAATATAAGGTGTCAAAAATTCAAATTTTACAAATTTCAAGAGGCAATAACTTGAGAGGGGAAGGAGATGGAAAAAAATTTTCTTCCAACGAAATGAACTATTTGTTAATGTCCAAAAGCCCATAAAATTTCAAGCTTCTACAGGTTGGGGTCTAGAAAGTAAACGATATCAAAAATTTGGAAAAAACGGACTTTAGATAACGGTAAATTTGAGCGGCCATTTTGTTTTTCTAAAGTTAACCTTTAGTATACCCCGCTAGGGGAAGAAGCCACTGCCTTTCTGCGTTTGCAAAACTTGAAAAATCCTTATGGTTTCATTGCACTAAATAGTTAAATAAAGTTGGGTCAAACCAATGGTTTGTATTGTAGCACTTTTCCCTTCAACAAGTGAAAATTCTGCTTTTAAATACAGTCTATGTATACCTATCACACTATTAAAATTATTTTCATTCATATTTAACTATTTCTAGGATTGCATATATTTAGGATGATGCATTCATGCAATCTTTGAAATAAAGCAAAAATTAATATAAAGAGGGGTTAACATAATGCTCGATTTTAAGGGTTAATTGTGTGAGTTAAGAAAAATAATTATATTTTTTAATGTTACGGAATTTACCGCTAGCTTTTTATGTTTATAGAAATTTGAAAACGTTTGCGGTTTTGGAAATATAAGGCGCCAAAAATTCAAATTTTACAAATTTCAAGAGGCGATAACTTGAGAGGGGGTGGAGATGGAAAAAAATTTTCTTCTAACGAAATGAACTATTTGTTAATGTGTATAAGCCCCTAAAATTTCAAGCTTCTACAGGCTGGGGTCTAGAATAAAAACGAAATCAAAAATTTGGAAAAAAAAGACTTTAGATAACGGTAAATTTGAACGGCCATTTTGTTTTTTTAAAGTTTAGCTATAGTATATTGCGCTAGGGAAAGCAAGCCGCTGCCTTTATGCGTTTGCAAAATTTCAAAAATGCTTATGGTTTCATTGCAACAAATAGTTAAAAATGGCCATTTTTAAGGTTTTGGGGGGGTATAACTTCTAGAGGGGGGGAGATAGGTAAAAATTTTGTTCTACGGAAATAAGTTTCTAGTAAAGATCTATGTACTTAAAAAATTTCAGCTTTCTATCTTCAAGGGTGTAGAAGTTTTGTAAACAGACACACGGACAGACGGACGGACGGACGGACGGACAGAGTGAAACTAATAAGCACTTTTTTTCAAATTTTTTTTGGAAAAGTGCTAAAAATGGCATTTTTAGGGTTTCGGGGGGGTATAATTTCTAAAGGGGGGGAGATAGATAAAAATTTTGTTCTACGAAAATAAGTTTCTAGTAAAACTCTTATGTACGTACAAAATTTCAGCTTTCTATCTTCAAGGGAGTAGAAGTTTTGTAAACAGACACACGGACAGACGGACGGACGGACGGACAGACGAACGGACGGACGGACGGACGGACAGAGTGAAACTAATAAGCACTTTTTTTCAAAAATTTTTTGGAAAAGTGCTAAAAAGTACATAGAGTGTACACAGGTAGAGATATACCGGTGCTTAGACTTACACAATGGGTTTCTTAGTAAGAAAAATAAAATAGACCAACAGCATAATTAGATATGAAGGTAAGGAAAATTGTCTTTATTTTGACTGAAGTAGAATATAAACTTAGCTGTGTCAGATATAACGGTACTTTTAAGTAATCATTGGAACAGTAGTACAATAGGCTAGCTAACATGTGTACAACAAAATTTATAGAACCCAAATACCATAGCCTTTTAAAAAATGAATTTTTAAAAAACTTTTGTTATTTCTTTAGGTGGCATAATATTGCAGCTGCGGTTAAAAGTCATATCGGCACTGTAATATGGTTTGGGAATAAATGTTTGAAAAACCCGATTAATCACAAACCAGAAAAAGCCTGCAACCCCGTCAAGGTTATCCTTTGCAAAAAAGATCTCTTCGCTGGTATATGCCAATCCATCACTATAGAGAAATATTTTAGATGAAAATTATTCAATTATTTTATTAAATTTTTATACAAAAAGTTAATTTCTTCTTTTTTGTATTATGGGAATCTAAAAGAAAACGCCAACAATACCTGAAAGAAAATTAATTATTACACAAATATTAATGAGTGCATTAAATTTTGAAAAGTTTGAATTTTCTAGAATGAAAAATCGTTTCGTTATTCATATTTAATATAAAAAGATTTTAAAAAAAAAATTAATATATGCTACTAAATTGTATAAGAATCCAGAATGAATAAGAACAAAAGGATCTCACTTTATAATAGGATAATATTTAAATATGAAGAAAAAAATATTAAATTTTAGAATTAAAAAATATATTTCAATTAAAAAATATAGCAAAAATCGAATTTTATATAGTTTACTTAAATATTTTTTTTTATAAGATTATTAAATCAAATCTTATATTTAATAAAATGAGAATTTATTTTATATATTATGTAATCTTTATTATGAAAACTGGGATCAATATTAAATTTTCTTATGTAAATATTTTGATTTTATATTGTGTATGTACATGTTTAGATACCTACTGTTATACTATGTATATGTATGTATAATATCATTTAATAGAATTGATGATATTAAATTTATTTTCTCTATATAAATTGTACAGTAGAGTCATAATTTTTAGTCTCTCTATATTTTTTTTTACGATTTTTATAAACCTTTCAAATTTTATAAAATATTTTCACTTAAGGTTTTAAAATATTTGCAAATTATATGCTTTATAAATGACCCATACCGAAATAAAACTTTTCTCTAGGTAGCCAATAGGTTTTAAGAAAATACAATTAAATTGGCTTTTTAGTTTTCTGATGACCATTTGAGCTTTTAATTGCATTTATTATTTGGTTTTTTTTTTGTGTTTATACCGCTGCGTTTTTACGCAATAAATTTATCGCAAATCTAGTCAACTTGAATACTCTTCTTCATATCAACCAACAATAAGGCAATAAATAACTTGAATATTAAACACGTTTAGTTGATATAGTGGCGGAAATTCACGAAAAATCTGCTCGAAATTGGAACCTTCGAATAGGCCATTTATACAGACAGTGGAATTTTTTAAGTCTTGATTGCGTGATTTTTAAATTTTGGTTAAACTGTACAGTATAATAATTATTATTATTTAAAATATTAAAAAAATTCAAATTCTTCTGAATTTATTATCCTTTTTTTATTACAAGAAAAAATTTTCTGAACCCATTTATGTAAATTTAATTCGTAAAATCAAATGAAATAAAAATACCAAAGAAAACAGAAAAAATGAAAATGATAAAAAATTAAATCAATAAAAGGATCTTAAATTCATTTCTAATTTAATACTTTATAGAATTTAAGGATAATAATTATATTTATTTGTTTTTACCTTTTTTCTCTTTTTGAGTTCAATAGGTTCCTTTTAAAAATAATTTTTTTGTTTTTATTTATTTTTATTAATTTTTATTTATAGGTATTTATTTTTTTTTTATATTTTTCTATAAAAGGATGTGTTTTTACATATTGCATATCCGCTTTGAATTAATAAATCTAATGCTAAGCATATGTTAAAGAAAAAGGATATTAAAGAAAAAAAGGATATAATTTTCAGATATTATGAATAAATTCAATTTTTTTTTCTTTGAATATTTTTAAAAAATTTTCTGAGGTTTTTTTTTATCAATAATTGCAAAGTTCTTAATTAAAATTGTTTTAAACTTTTTTTTTTCAATTATTAAATTTGATAACAGAATTTTTTCTCAATAATTTTTTATTCTCTATTTAATTATAATAATTAAGTTTTATAATTGAACATATGAGTCAAATTATGTATTTAGGAAAAGAAGATATGCATGTTGTCATATTGATCCTAAAAGTATGCTATGGGAAATTTTTAAATTTATTTTTGGATTGGTTATTACAATATTTTTTTAATAGCTACTAAAGTAGTTTAACTTCATTAAAAATTAAGAGTGCTAAATGGTTTTTTGCTCGTTTTCGCCTATTTGTAAAATTAAATAGTAGATTTTTGCATATGTGGATTGAAATTACTTTGGGATTTCAAAGGTTTTCAATAGACTTGATTATACAGCATTGTAACTTTGTTGTATTTCACATTTATTAATTGATTTTTCAATACTCAAATTTGCTAATGTAAATTTGGCCAGTATTTGCTGATAATATAATAAAAAAAAAATGAAAATTCA